AAAGAGCATCAAAAACTGAGTAAGGTAAATATAGTCTGGGAATTAAATAAAAGAATTTGACTCATCTTTCAATCGAAAGACTGACATCATCCAGGATAATTCTTTCTGAATCGTATCATCATTACTCGAAACCGTGGTGAAAACGTGGAGATCTACTGATTCGAAAGAGAATGTAATTCTGAACAGGAACATTATATTTAAAAAATTTTCTAACATCGGTGCGGATGCTAAAAAGGGTTTCTGGAAAACCAGGACCCTCAAAACCAGTTTTCTGAGTTTGGCTAAATAATCCTTGCATACAACTTCGTCGAATAGAGTAAACATTTTTGAACAAAATGAGAGGTCTCCGAGTTCTCCACGATCATTCTTCATCGAACTGCACTCAATTTACTAAAGGCCTAAAAAACACCGTAAAATCATTGAAATTTTCAAAAACAATAGTTGTGTTTGAGGCCTTTAGTAAATTGAGTGCAGTTCGGTGAAGAATGGTCGTGGAGAATTTGGAGACCTCTCATTTTTTAAAAGCTCGGCCCGTATATATATGGACCCCGGCACCAAAGGGTTAAACATGTCTCTGGTTCGAATTAAGAGCACTGTTCTTAATTCGAACCACAACCAGTTTTTGTTCCTAATTCGAACCAACACACGCAAAATGCATTGAAAAACGAGACCTATTTAGAAAACAGGGTCCTCTTGCTACCCAAAGTTCAGAATCTGGCTATAATCTTGAAACAAAAGTTATTGATCAGAGAATAAACTCAAGCTCATCGCAGTTGAGCCTTAACCGATAAAATTTTACTTAGAGTTTTTAACAAAGACTTTTTCAAATGATTTTCTCATCTTATGGCGCAAATAATAAACTGGAGCGATAAAATCATTTGAAAAAGTCTTTGTTAAAAACTCTAAGTAAAATTTTATCGGTTAAGGCTCAACTGCTATGAGCTTGTAGTTTATTCTCTGATCAATAACTTTTGTTTCAAGGTTATAGCCAGATTCTGAACTTTGGGTAGCAAGAGGACTCTGCTTTCTAAATAGGCCTCGTTTTTCTATGCATTTTGCGTGTGTTGGTTCGAATTAAGAACAGTGCTCTTAATTCGAACCAGAGACATGTCTAAAGATAATTGAATATCTCTGCACATAAATGAAATTAATGGTTGAACCGATGGAACTATACTCAGTTTGATGTGGCGAACATTTTTTGTTCCAAGAGTATATTGAAAATCTGACATTTGGGTGGCAGGAGCCAACAGTTTTCTGAAATTTTGCCGCTTTTTTTTCTTGTTCTGCGCTGGCTGGTTCGAATTAGGGACATATATTTCGTGTGTGGTTCGAATTAGGAACAGTGCTCCTAATTCGAACTCGACAACTCATCACCAAACTACCGATTAGAACTCACTCAATTTTGATGATAACTAGATAATTTTTATATCATTGAACTCGCGAGACGATTTTACACTTTGTAGTATTAAAAATAATAGAGACGAGAAGAATCTACAAAGTCATTGTAGTTCGTAAACTTTTGCTATATCCAAGAGCATTTATTATACCGCCTGAGAAGACTGTAAGGTATATACGCCTTGCGCAAGTTTCGGAAGACTCATGCCTTGAACTCGGATTTCCAGTCCAGTAGCATAATACCATACAGTTTCTCCAGTTAGTTTTAATGATTTTCAGTAACGAGCTGTGTGCGGGCTTAGTGAGTATGTATGACAAGTTCAAACCATTGAAAGAAACGAATCTGCGTTTGACCGGCTCTCGGAACATAGTTGTAATTGATGGTTAGAGACGAGATGGATGACCATACACAAGCATATCACCTGAAGAGAAGATAGCGAACTATCGAAACGACACTTGTCAGTACACTTACACCAGTAAAAAACGAGGTGAGGTGGTGTATTTTTTCTTCTTTTTTCTAGGATAGAGCAAAGCTGGAAAAATAATGAGTTTGTGGATGGATGGTAGATTGTTCTGAATACCGGCTACATGATCCCTCTAATTGCCTCCCGGACAACTGCTCCCCGGACCTTTGCTACTCGGAAAAAGGTTACCTACATATTTGCTCTTCTGGGACTTTTGCCCCTTTAGGAATCTGCTCTTCAAAGCAGGTGCGAGAGTGAAGTATAAACTATTCAATAATACTCCTGATTTTTTTTTTCTTTTTTGTTCCTCTTCTACGGGCCTATTATTATCTGACAAAGACAAGATGTTCTAATGCATAGTGATTGACAAAAACCATTGTGCCTGGATTTTTCTGTGTGCTACTGCGTGTGCATGTTGAGTATATGTGCGTACATGAATATTCTCAATCTCTTCTTTTAAGTGTCCATAATGTTATTATACTTCCTAGAAAAGTACCTACCTTTTCTCTTTGTAGAACTTTTTTCTGTTACTTACAGGCTGTAAAACGCATTCGTTTTTGTTTTATGCATTTTTTTTCCATTTTTAATGTATATATGTCTGTTGAATATGGGGAGAAACCAACCTATTGATTACCTACCTAACAAAATGCTTTTTTACTTGCTTATTTTCATTGCACCATGCACAAGTTGTATCTTACATTTTATTCAATTCTGCTTTTTCGATGCCATGTAGAATATTACGTTAAATTGAAGCATTAAGCTATGTATGTTACTGCAAACTTCAGCAAAACAACTGTTTTGAGTTTGGTTTATAGAGAGAAACTTAGTTTTATAAACATTTGGATAAACATTTAACATTTGGAATAAGAACTCATGATGTGTGTGATGACCGTTAGCAAATGTTTCATTTACTTTTTCTGATTGCCTATCCGCAATTTAATTACGTTGTTTCTTTAACGTTTCAACATGAGACAGATTGGCTGCAGCCACTGGCAGCCGATCTGTCTCATGTTGAAACGTCATGTTGAAACGTACTGGCAGTCCAGGAATGCATTTAACTGTTGAACATAAGTCTGTTTCATACTTTTGTGATTTATTGAATGTATATACTGCCGTAGATCAATGATTTTGCAGCAAATTCCTATTCTACCTATAGCTAAAGCAGAAGACAGGGAAGATAGATCACCATCTACAGCTGAGGTTAGCGAAGCTATCAGGCAGTTGAAAAATTGTAAGGCATTCGGAAAGAGCAATGTAACGACCGATTTGTTGAAAGTTGGTCGTATGCCAGTAGCTACATGATTACATCAAATTACAGTTGTTGTTTGGAAAATGAAGAAATGGTAGAGGATTGGACTTCGGCTATATTGATACGTTTGCATTAGTGAGAAAGATTATTATATTCTCTTATTTTCCTGATTCGAAGCAATTGTGAAACGCCGGTATACGAAAAAGACAGGAGGATAAGATCACCGAGAACACAGAAAAATCTTGTATCAGAAATTGAAGAAGAGATACGTTGAATACGAATGATTTTCCTGCAAGTTGGTGAGTATAACTGAGCAGGAGTCCCTAACACGCTCACTTTCCCAGTTTCTTTCTGACAAGATCCTGGAGAATCCTCTCTAGGCACACCATGCAGAAGATCTTACATCGTTCATCGGATATATCTCTTGGTTCTTCACAGATTTTTCACTTTATATACCCTGCGGAATTTTTTCCTATCTGTTATCACTTGTAATACACAAGATATCTCACTACGCAAACTCTGCAAGATCTGTAGGATTTTCTCGTGATGATAAAAATGAATGACTTGTAGATTTTGTCCCCCATGTCTATGCTGCGGTATCTTGAAATCTTTTCGCACCAATGTCTGTCCAGGGTGACCGTAGACGAACTGGTCTGTATTTTTTATTTTTGGAAAGTTAAGTACTTTTGCATCTTTTCTTGTAAAATTATAAAAGCTTTTCTCGTCTCGAATAAACTTCCGGAAAATGTATACCTTAATATTTTTATCTATAACTTGTCAATATTTTTACCGAAGTTTTTAAGTTACATACCATTCAACAGAGTATTCAAAGCTGAAGAAATTAGAATAGTTTGATATCTCTGCTTTGCTATACATCTTTTTCTCATAGGTGTGGGATCATTCTAATGACTTCAATTTCTTATTGATGGAAGAAAATAGACTATTCCTGACATAAAAAAGATCTTTTCAGCTATATCTATTAATAGTTGGGTTTTGTACACATGAAAATGCGTGTTAAAGTAAAAATATTAACGTATACATTTTCTAGAAGATTATCGGACACGAGAAAAGTTTTTATAACTTCACAAGAAAAAAGTACTCAACTATCCAAAAATAAAAAATACAGACCAGTTCGTCCACGGTCACCCTGGACAGACATTGGTGAGAAAAGATTGCTAGATACCGAGGATAGCCATGGAGAACAAAATCCCCAGAGATGAAGATAAGAAACATCCCCAGATATTTTAATATCGACAACCCGCAGGGATCCTGCACAAGCGCGATCCTGCATGAATTTTGATTATTTTTTTCGGTGGTAAAAATCATAGGGAAATAGAAGTCGTCATAGAATTTTCATTCGAGACCATAATCACAATAGTCAGAATTCTTTGTACAATCTTTAATTGTGATTCTTGTTTATTATTTTAATTCTATCTGAAACAAAGTGTGTTTACTTATGTATTCACCTATTCATTTTAGAAATGTTTAAATCAAAATATTATTTTTGGTTGGCGAGTTGGTTTGTAATATACAGGGTTATAATTGGCCCTATTACTTTTCACCTGGTCTCAAATGTTATAATTCGTCTGTATTCAACTGCTTGAACAATACGCTCTGTTCTCCGTACTACGGATGTGGTACGCAGTGCAGAACAAATTATAATTCAGCGTGTGCTAATGACAATCAAACAATATGTGACGGATTTGATTATTATAATTTCAATGTTTATGTTTGTGGTACACAGAAACAGTGTTATGATAATACAACAAGTGTCTGTTTGAATGGAAGCACCGTTTGCCAGGGGTTAAATTCACAGTTATGTGGATCCACTTGTTTTAATCCTTATACTGCAGTCTGTACGAATGGTATCATCCAATGTATTAACACCTGCAATGGTACATGCTATTCAAATTCTCAGTATTGTGTAAATAATACACAAATTTGTAATAATGGCGAGTTGGTTTGTAATATACAGGGTTATAATTGGCCCTATTACTTTTCACCTGGTCTCAAATGTTATAATTCGTCTGTATTCAACTGCTTGAACAATACGCTCTGTTCTCCGTACTACGGATGTGGTACGCAGTGCAGAACAAATTATAATTCAGCGTGTGCTAATGACAATCAAACAATATGTGATGGGTTTGATTATTATAATTTCAATGTTTATGTTTGTGGTACACAGAAACAGTGTTATGATAATACAATAAGTGTCTGTGTGAATAATAACACTGTTTGTCCAATTGGAAATCAACTTTGTTCTGGCGTATGCTACAATCCACAAACACAATATTGTACAGGTGGCAACAATACTATCTACTGTCTCAATAATCCTTCATCGTCAAGCTGTCTTCTTACTTCTTCTCAAACTCCTGCTGGACGGACGAGTTCAACGTCAGCACGTAGCACTAGTAGAACAACAACAAAACTTACGACCACTACTCCGCGAACAAGCGCTACTACCAGTAAGATAACAACAACACGGTCCACAATGAGAACGGCCGCCACCTCTCCCAGTATAACAACACCAAAAGCACCTTCAGAAACAGCAGCCTTGAATAGCACTTGTTGTGCAGTAAAAGAATGTACAGCGGATGCCGATTGTTGTCAACGTAATATTGAATGCCAGTGTTATCGACATAATCAGACTGATATTTATGGTTCATGTCTGAACCCGTACGTTACACCTATTTGTGCTAATGGCTGTCCCGTACAAGCTAAATGTAAATATGATACAGACTGTTGTAAATGCCAATGTGCACAAGTAACCTTTACAAATTCAGATGGACTGTTAGTTACAAAGAAACAATGTGCAGAGCGATGAAGAATGTGTATGATTCTTACTTTGACAGACAGACGATCAGAAGACGACCATCATTTATTTTAGGACCTAGTTTTGTTGTTCACTGCATACTTTTTGTTTTCCTGGTAAGTAAAACTATTTTTTTGGATTTTGTGCGAAAAACTCACTCATCTGGCTTGGTAAGAAAGTAATATGTAAGCGATACATATAACATCATGGTCTGCTGCTGAAGCCTCACATGGTTAACATAGGATTTTTTCTAGACAGTTAAAACGAAAGGAAAACAATTTATATACTAGTGCAGTATGAATCGATTATAAAATGGTCGTTAATTGAAATATGTCGCCGCTCACCAACAACTGCCAATAGATTACATGACATTTCAGCCCCCGATATTTGAGCCTCCCGACATTTGAGCCTGTCGCAGATAGGCATTATATGACTGAGTTCGATACTATTAAGGAACAGGCTAATTGATTGATTGATTGATTAAAAAATGTTATATTCACGCTAATTAATTGATTGATTAAAATTTTATTTAATAATTTATTTTTTAATAATGAGTTGATTAAAATTGAATTTGGCTTCCTAACGAGTTGTAAGTATATATATATGCAGAGTAAGGAACACACATCACTCATTCTACTATCCCACTTTTCCTTAAAAATATCTATTGTAGAATCTTCTAAAGATAAAGATCAACTTCTTCTTGATGGTTTTCGTTATCATCGTGCAAATAAAAGTCAAGTTACGTGGCGTTGTGTTAAAAAATAATTGTTCTGGTCGTGTAACTTTTGATGGTACACAATATATTAAATTAACTAACCATAGTCATCCACCAAATCCAGACGAAATAATAGCTTTGTTTAATTTTTGAAATTAAAAAAATAAAAGTCATATAATGTCTATCTGCGACAGGCTCAAATGTTGAAGGCTCACGTATCGGGAGGCTTAAATATCGGGGGCTGAAATGTCAAGAGCTCAAGTGTCGGTAGGCTCATGTATCGAGGCTCATTTGTCGGGGCTCAAATGTCATAGGCTCAACTGTCGTGCCACCATCAAAGAGATACGTAACACAGACCGAAACGGATCGGGTTCGGGCCAAGGTAAAAGATATTGATTCGGGTCGGGCTCACGATCGGATCAGCTCGGGTTCGGGTCACGTTTGGTTGACCCGCTTCGGTTCAAACTCAGGTCAATATAAGAAAAACTGCCTGAATTATGCCAAACTTTTCCACTCATAAAAGGAAAAAATTACAGAAATCGTAAGGAATCTGACCATTCCTTTGAAAAAATTTCAAAATAATCTGACTAAGATAACTTTTCTGAAGGAAAGAAGTGTTTCTTGGCGAATGTGTACAAAAACATTTTCATATTTCGGCTATATACTTCGGATCACAGTGGAAAAGTTTTTGTGTCCGTTCGGGTTGGGTCAACGTATAAGATATTGATTCGGGTCGGGTGGAGTTCGGATCGAGTCGGGTTCGGGTCACGTTTGGTTAATCCGTTTCGGTCTCTGATACGTAATATTTGTATGTCATTATATAGTAGACATTGAGCACTATATACCCTGGAAAAGTCATGGTTTCATCTCTTATAGTTCCCGGAAAATCAAGAATTTACGTTGTTTTTTAAAGTAAGTTTTCGAATTTCGCTCTTTTGGAAAAATATCGTATATACCAGGAAGGAAGAGTACACTGAGGCTAAAAGCTTGAATTTATTGGTTTTCACACATGCTCTACACTACGGCATTGGTTTGAAAAAGTCCGGGAAAGTCATTGAGCATGTGTTGGCGTGGCTCTCCTCCAGTGACTCATAGGGATTCAAACAGGAACCATAAACAGCCTCTTGATTATGTCGATAAAATTGACTTTCAAGACTATAATTACAATAGTCAGAATTCTTTGTACAATCTTTAATTGCGATTCTTGTTTATTATTTTAATTCTATCTGAAACAAAGTGTGTTTACTTATGTATTCACCTATTCATTTTAGAAATGTTTAAATCAAAATATTATTTTTTACTTACGGTTTTAAAGTGCGTCTGACTTGTTAAGATAGAAGAAAAGAAAAACAACAGAAGTATAATCATGTGTAGATGAAACTTATTCTTTTTAAAAAAGTATAAAATTTCGAATTGTTAGATTAGAAGCACATTACTAAAACAACTACCTCAATACTTGGTATCTCAACACAAAATGATCGCCCTAAATTTGATTTAAACTTTATTATAGAAGAAACAGTAATCAAATCGGGCTGTGCCCATTGCATGACACTGGGAGAGAGGAAGAGGACGAACGAAAGTACAAAATAAAAAAAACAAAAAAGAAACTAGAC